AAAAGTGGACTCAATTTGCACTATTTTTGGCAGTCTGCAACCCCCCGTAGTCATGCCCAAAATGGAGGACATGACACAAGAAAAGCCAAAGACACTCCTAGAAATAGAAATTCATGCTTCTTAGCCATGCTCAAAATGAAGGACGTGACCCAAGAAAAGCCAAAAACACTTTAGGAATGCCGGAAAGGACTCAGGATGGTGTTGCTGTTGTTGTTACAGTGGTACATGCTGCCAAGAGGCCTAAGCTTTGCAGTCTGGAGAGGACCTCTGAGCATGTGCAGAGTTTGCTTGAACAGTCCACCTGCTCCCCAGGTGGATAGTTTTTGTTGCTATTAACTGCCCTTGAGTTGGTCCGAACTCATGGCAAGCCTATAGATGAGGCATCTCCAAGACTCTGTCATCCATTGCTCTGCTTAAGGCCTGTAAATTCAGACCCATGACCTCCTTAGTAGAGTCCATACATCTAGCATGAGACCTTCCTCTCTTTCTGCATCCCTTCACCTTCCCCAGCATCATTGTCTTTTCCAATGATTCATGCCTTCTCATGATGCCCTCAAAGTATTGGGAGGGTTAAGTGTGCCATTTGTTGTAGAATAGCGCCATCTACTGACAGAAGAGAGAAAAATATTAGGCTTGTGTAGTAGATGGTACGATCCTGTGACATGATTTGAAAAGAAACAAAGTTTAACATGTATAAAAGGCAACGCCGAACAAATTCCCCTGTGCCATTTGCATGCAAATAAAGCCATCTGGACTGAGGACCTGTTTCAAGTCTCCTTCTATTGAACCAGCAAACTGTAACATAATAATAATTTCTATCCCACCCCTCTACCGAAGCAATCGGGGAAGTTTACATCAATAAAATATCACTATAAACCAGGGGTAGGCAACCTTTCCCCGTTAAGGGCCGAGGGACTTCAGCTCCCAGAATCCCAGGAGCTATTGGCCAACATGGGACTATTGGCCAACATGGCTGAGGCTTCTGGGAGCTGAAGTCCCTCAGCCCTTAAAGGGGAAAGGTTGCCTACCCCTGCTATAAACCCTCCCAAACCCACCCTCCCCTTAAAACAATATTAAACATAGAATTAAAACAATTAAGACAAACATTTAAAACAATTTAACAATTTACAATAGTAAACTTTAGAGCAATCTAATAGGAAGTCCACAAGCAGTAAATAATGTGGCTGAGTGTGGAAGCAGTATGACACTATGCACAAATTTTTGGGTGGATCTACACAGTAGAAATGAGGGACCAGTGTGGCATAGTGGTTTGAGCATTGGACTACTACTGTGTAGACCAGGGTTCGAATCCCTGCTCAAGTGTAAAATTGTATAAAACCTCACACTCTCAGCCTCAAAAGATGACAATGGCAACCCCCCTGAAGAAACTTGCCATGAAAACCCCATAAGTTCCCCTTCTTATTGTTGTTGTCATTTCCCACTTATGACAACCCTAAGGCAGCCCTATGATAGGATTTTCTTGGCAAGATTTGTTCAGAGAAGGTTTGCCATTGCTTTCCCCTGAGGCTGAGAGTGTGTGACTTGCCCAAGGTCGCCCAGTGGGGGTTTATGGCTGAGCTGGGAATTAAACCCTGGTCTCCAGAGTGGACTACTGGCCACCAGGGTTCACATCCCTGCCTACATATAAAAACCCACTCTCTCTTAGCCTCGGCAAACCCCCATGAAGAAACTTGCCAGGAAAAACCATGATCAGTCCCTCTTAGGGTTGCCATAAGTCAAAAATGACTTGGAGGCACCCAACAACCACAACCACAGTAAAAATAATGCTTCCTTACTGCTTCTGTGCCCATTCAAAGGATGCATCAACACTTGAAATAACACAGTTTGACACCACTTTAAGTGCTGTAGCTCCATCTTATGAAATCCTGGGATCTGTGGTCTTACAAGGTCTTTAGTTTTCTCTGCCAAAAAGGGCTCATGCCTCACAAAACTACACATCCCACATTATTTCTACACTGTAGATGTGCCCTTTAAAAGGGCATAGAAACAGTGAGGAAGTCACACAAGCTTCCCTTTCGCTCTGCTAGGAATGAAGGTGAATGCTGGAAATCTTGTAGTACTTTTCCATGCCTCCAGCCCTACTGCCTCTGTCCTGTGCAAGAGCTACTTGGTGGCTCTTTGGGACCTGTTTTGAAACATGCACAAAGCCCTCAAATCCCATCCTGCCCATAATCAAGAGATTGCCCCTAATAGGAAAGCCCCAGTTAAAGGGAAGGTCCCACACTCAGTGTGTACTATTTCTTTCCATGAACCACAGATGTGCCTCAGTCCTCTGGAAAGCTTTGGTTGGAGTATTTGAAAAATGATATTACATAGAATATAAATACTGTAGTGTTATGTTTGTTTATTGTAAAGAGGAGATAACTTTGTGTTATGGAATGGCATGCAAATTACATAAATAAAAAATATGGCTTGGTTACATCTGCAGAAAAACAACTCAGAAACAGAAGCTTCTTGGACTAGAACTCCCAGAGTCCCCTACTCATCATGGCCTCTCTCTGGAAGCAGCTCCAAAGGTGAAACAAGGAGGCGGTGTTTCTCAAATATTCTGTGTTTTGTTGTTGATATGTGTCTCCAAGTCATTTTTGACTTATGGCAGCTCTAAATCAATCCTATTATTGGTAAGTTTCTTCACAGGGTTTGCCATGGCCATCCTCAGAGGCTGAGAGAGTGGGACATGCCCAAGGTCAACGAGTGAGTTTTTATACTCTAGAAAGGAATACTATATTTCTATTGATGCAGCCTAAAATTGCATTGGCCTTTTTAGCTGCTGTATCACACTGTTGACTCGCGGTCAATTTGTGATCCACTAGGACTCCTAGATCCCTTTCACACGTAGTCGCGTTAAGCCAGGTGTCCCCCATCTTATATCTATGCATTTAATTTTTTTGCCCTAAGTGCAGTACCTTACATTTCTCTGTGTTGAAGTTCATTTTGATAGCTTTGGCCCAGCTTTCTAATCTATTAATTAATAATTAATAATCTATTAATCTAATCTATTTGATCATATTCATGGAAAGGCGGGGTAAAAATAAAATTTATTATTATTATTATTATTATTATTATTAAGGTCATTTTGAATTTTCATCCTATCTTCTAGAGTATTAGCTATTCCTCCTAATTTGGTGTCATCTGCAAATTTGAGAAGCATGCCCCCTATTTCTTCATCCAAATCATTGATAAAGATATTGAATAGCACTGGGCCCAGGACCGAACCCTGTGGCACCCCACTGGTCACTTCTCTCCAGGATGAAGAGGAGCCATTGCTGAGCACCCTTTGGGTTCAGTCAGTCAACCAATTACAAATCCATGTAACAGTTATGTTGTCTAGCCCACATATTACTATCTTGTTTGTAAGAATGTCATGGAGAACCCTGTCAAAGAAAGGCCTTACTGAAACGAGATATGCTATATCTACAGCATTCTCTTTGTCTACCAAGCTAGCAATTTTATCAAAAAAAGGAGATCAGATTAGTCTGGCATGACTTGTTTCTCAGAGTGGCAAGTCCAGTGGCAAGACTTGCAACTGGCAAATCCAGTTTTAATCCATTGGGAACTAGCCTTTGTGTATGGAAATGAAGTGGCAAGACCAATTTGGTTTTGGAAACTAGCCTGTAGATGGGGAGAATAGATGAGTGTGGGACACCTCCCTGAAGATGTGGTCAGATAGTGTTGAAATGTGTGTAGTGAGCCAGGAAGCCATTATCTTTGTTCAATCCATGGCTGAGGGACTGTAGTTTGTGGATGAATTTCAATTCTGCTGTTTCTCTTTCCAATCTGCCTTCGTAGTTCTTTTGTTCAAGGACTGCTGTTCTGAGGTTTGAGATAGAATGTCCAGGGAGATTGAAATATTCTGTCACTTGTGAAAGCAGTTCTCACACATGTGTCCTGGAGAAATGAAACAAAGCCTGGGTATGGACTGGGTAGCCCTCCAGATGTTGTTTATAGCCCAGAGCCACTGTGGTGTAGTGATTTGGGTGTTGGACTATGACTTTGGAGACCAGGATTCAAGTCCCAGCTAGGCTGTGGAAACCTACTGAGTGACTTTGGACAAGTCACACTCTCTCAGCCTCAGAGGATAGCAATGGCAAACCCCCTGTGAAGAAAACTGCCAAGAAAACCCCATAATAGGTTCGCCTTAGAGTCACTATAAATCAGAAGTGACTTGAAGGCACACAGCAAAACAAAATAAAGCTAGACTTTATTATCCGAAGGAATATCCTCTCGAGTTACTAGGCATAAGCTCCCTGATTTTGCTTCACTTGAATTTTTAAAATGTGACTTCAGGTTTGGGTTTTTTATATGTTTCAAAATCATTTTCATATGAACGTTGTTTAATTTCTCTGTCCTTTTGTTTCCCACCAAATAAGGAACCAGTGTTTTTTTTCGGTAAAGGATGCAGATGATTCTAAGCATTCCAAAAATGGGATATTTGTTTGTTTCTCCATCTTGATAGACCTTGGGAGAGTCTTGGCCAGAACCCAAAACTATTGCAGTACTGGATCCAATTTGAATGCGTGAAGTAGGGATAAGATAGCTGCAACCTTCCAGATGTTGAGATTCCATGTCACATAAACCTACACAGATATTAGGAGCTGGGGTCCATCATTATTGAGGGACACAACTCCAGGTATCATCCCTCATTTACAGTCCTTCCCTTGTTTCATTTTAAGACCAAAACAAAGTCTTAACTATATTTTTTGTGGGTTTTTCGGGCTGTGTGGCCATGTTCTAGAACATGGCCACACAGCCCGAAAAACTCACAAAAAACTATGGATGCTGGCCATGAAAGCCTATGACTTCACATTGAAATTCTTAACTAATTTCTTTCTCTCCGCTCCAACCTTCACCTTTTTGCTTGGTTTACAAACTCCCCTTATGAAAAAGTCCTGAAAAACTTTAAAAGTTTTGGCACCACCACTTCTTGTTCGGTCATGACAAAAATACTGCCCAACTGTAGATTTTGACATTTTTCTCATGGCTATCCTATCTTTCTATCTGAGTTAATGCAATAGGATGTTTGGCCATATACTGATTTGGATTGCTGGACAAATTATCATAGTTCATTTTAATAGCACCATAGCACTATTTAATACTATTTAATAGCACCATAGTACTATTTAATACTATTTAATAGCATACATAGTGCTTTACAAGAGTTTATTGCTTTTACTTGCCTGTGCCCAGGTGCAATCCCATACAAAGAAATGTGGGTGCCCCACATCGAAAGCCATTGGTAGTAAAAATAGTGGACCTTTGGTATTTGCTGAGGTTTGATTCCAGGACCCTTGTGGATACCAAAATCCATGGATGCTCAAGTCCCATTGCAATATGTAAAGCTTAGGGAGTGCTAGTTCACAGATAAGCAGTATAGACATGTACTTGCTATTGCGATTGCTATATACAATTGCGTAGCAAAATCATGTCCCCTATATAAGATAGCAAAAACAGTGTTTGCTTTTTGGAATTTATACCTTTCTGGAATATTTTCCAAGCTGTGAATGGTTGAATCTATGGATATGGAGGTCTGACTGTAGCAATTATTCCCCCTGCTTTCACTTTCATCTTACCTCCCCTACCAGCATCTCTGGTCCTAAATAC